TTTGAGGGGGGATGTTAAGATGTGAACATAATTATATTTAGAATTATTGTAAATATTTTATACTTTAGAATATTCTCTTTGTATACTTTATACCTTACAATATTCTTTTTGTAAACACCTATATATAGGTCATTGTACATACAATATAATTCAAGAAAGCAATAAACCTTTCTTCATATATTTCTCCTTCTTTTTAGTTTCTAACATTTATTAGGAAAATGGAGGAATAGACTTGCAAACACTACAAGGATTTTAGGATTTACCTGCACTTTATTTCATGCGCTTACTATGTGTGCTGGAAATCCTAACTTGGCGTAGAGTGCTTTTTGGGTATTTTATTTATGCATTTGGAAATGTTGTTCATTTCCGGCACTTGAAAAGCGCCTGTATATTAAAAAAAAAAAAAAAAAAGAAACAGGACATATAGTTAGAATCCCCCCAAAACCAAGCCCCGCGTTATTTTCCCAAAACCCCGCGCTATTTACCCTACATTACCTCGTCTCCTTCCAATCTCTCGTTCCCCTTTTGTCTCTCGTTCTTTTCTATTTCAGTATTCTTCAAAGTAGTCAATACCGTACTGGTATATGTACTGGTTTTGCTACTGGAACGGTACGTACCGGATATCGAAATTTTTTGTGTACCGTTTCGGATTTACCGTTATAAAAAAATTTTGTGAAGAAATTTAAAAAACATAACAAGAAAAGGACTCAATCGAAAAAATTAAAAAATTAAGGATGAAATCTACCAAGATAAATCTATAAATCCACCATAATATTGAGTCCACAAACAAATTAATTCAAGTCTCAACCCAATTTCAAAGCCCAGCCCATTCAAACCCAAATTTAACAATAAAAGAAACCCTAGTTCCTCTCTTTTAAAGGAGGAAAGAGACGGCAAACATATAAAAAAAAAAAAAGGGAAAACAGAAAGCCTCTCAATTTTTCTCCCTTCTACAGATCTACGACAGCCACCATCACCCCGTTCCTTCACCTCCGACCTTCACCATCCTCTTGCTAGCCAATCGTCACTTTCATGAGTCTCATCTCACCAATCACCAAAAAGACGATGCAGATCTAACCGCAAGCCCCTTCACCTCCGACCTTCACCATCCTCTTGCTAGCCAATTGTCACTCTCATGAGTCTCATCTCACCAATCACCAAGAAGACGATGCAGATCTAGCCGCAAGCCTCCTTCGGGACTCCAACCTTGATATCTTCTTGCGTCTCATCATCATCACTGCCTCCACCTTCATCACCGGTAAGTAGAGGGGTTTGGGCCGTTTGGCAGCCACCAGAAAGGGAGGATCTTTCTTCTCCAAAAAAATATCAAGTTGTTGTGAACACCGCCGGTACGCCGGAATACCGGACGAAATACCAAAATTTAACCGAAATGAGCGAAATTTGACCGAAATGAGCGAGATTTGACCGAAACGAAATTAAGCTTTATACCGTTTCGGTGCCATGAAAAATCCGATACATACCGGCCATATCGGCCGGTACTAAACGGAATTAACTACCTTGGTATTCTTCCTTTCGTTCTTTTCATTTTCAAAACTTTTGTTTCATTTCCAGAGTCTCTCCACTGGGTAAGCAGAAACCCTAAACCAATTGCAATTAGTAAGCTTCAAATCTCTCCATTAGGTCATCGTCTCTTCAATTTTGATTTTGATTTCTCAGATTTTGATTTCGCGTTACCCTTTGTGTCTTCTCCTTCGAATCTCATTTAAATGAGAGCGAGGGGTTATGGTCCAAAGTCCTTAGAGCCAAATACAATAGGGGGGAGACTAATTGGCGTACTTGGATGAGGGAGAGAAATGAGGTAGGGTCACGGTGGTGGAAAGATATAAGCAGTATTAATTGGATGCTTGATGGGCAAGTGGGTTGGCTCAATAATGGGTTCAAAATCAAATTAGGAGAGGGTAAAAAAATATCCTTCTGATTTGATAAGTGGACTGGAGATAACAGCTTGAGGGATTTGTTCCCAAAACTTTTTTCTCTGTGCACAGATAAATGGAGCTCGGTGCAACAAATGGGCCACTGGAATGGAAACACATGGCGCTGGAACTTACGATGGAGAAGGGAACTGCACACATGGGAGGATAACCAAGTGGAACACTGCATCAGTTACTCAGATGTAAACAACCACAGATAGCAAAGAAGGACAGCTGGTGCTGGTCTCACGAAAAAAAGGACAATACTCTGTAAAATCAGCATGTCAATTACTATTATCTTGTGAGACAAACGACTGTACAAGGATTATGAAGAAATGCTGGAACAAGATGGTGCCAAACAAGGTTTGCTCTTTCGCTTGGCTGTTACTGCAAAACCGGATCCCAAGTAAAGATAATCTGCTGAAAAGGGAAGTAATCAAGGAAGCCATGGATGCAATGTGCATGTTTTGTGCTGACAAAATTGAAGATGCGGACCATTTAATTATGAAATGTGATTTTTCCTATGAAATATGGTCAAAATGCTTTGAATGGTGGGGTATCTGTTATGTCCGGCACAATAACTGTAGGGAAGGTTTCATTCAACATTTGTGGGCGGCTAGAAACAAGAAAGGATGGCAGGTCTGTAGCGGTGGGCAAATGCCGATTTCGGAGAAAACCGATACCAAAAAGTAAATAACGGACTTTTTTTCCTCTTTTTTTCATGACAGAAACCAATAACGGAATCCTTTTATTTTTTCAGTATTGGATACCGAAAATGATACCGAAATTTTCAGTATACCAACAATTTCAGTGTTGGACACCAAAAATTTCGGTATTCATGTTTTTGATTTTGAAATTCAACAAATTTGCTGTTGCAGAGTGGAGAAAGGAGGGAGAACATTGGAGAGGATGAAAAAGCGGGAAGAGGGGGTAGAAGCAAATAAGATTACAAAGAGAATGGGAGAAAAAAACATGATAATATGATATGTAATTTTATAATTGTGAAAAAACTATAAAAATTTGTTGTTGATTGAAAAGAAATCATATTTTTTGGTATCCAATACCAAAATTTTTGGTATACCGAAATTGTTGGTGTCCAATACTGAAAAAATAAAAGGATTTCGTTATTGGTTTCTGTCATAAAAAGAAAAAAGGAAAAAAAAAAAAGTCCGCTAGCTACTTTTCGGTATCGGTTTTCCCCAAAATCGGCATTTGCCCACCGTTAATCTTGAGCATGCTCGCTTCTGTCACTCTGCATTCCCCAAAAATAGCTGCATTTCTTGCCGACCAGATTGACCAGACAACTGCATGCCACACTACCTGCCATCCAATCTTGTTTCTAGCCGCCCACAAATGTTGAATGAAAATTTTCATTTTAATAAAAAATTAAAATTAAAATATTGTTTCTCATTTTAATAAAAAATTTCATTTAATAAAAAAATATTAAAAGTATATAAAAAATTAAAAAATATATTCATTTCTTAATTTTGTTAATATTGTAAAAAAATAAAAACCAACTAGTTTCATAAAAAAAAATTTAAAATTGTCAACAAAAGTTTTACCTTTCCCCACTTTATTTTTCTGGCTCTACCTATGCGTGTGGTTAAGGATTTTGCTATATAATTTAATATTTTTTGGGGCAGTTGAGGAAGGATTTTGAATAGCTTTATATATGAAAAGGTGAGAGTCATAAGAACCAGCACGTGAAAAATTAACATTGACTACTGTTAGTGCGTCAAACCAGAGCCCCCTCCCTCGCCCGCCTACTTTTTAAAAATCTGCTTGCCTTAATTAATTCTCTCCATATTGTAGCTATGGCCGATTTTACCCAAAAAAAAAAAAAAAAAAGTAATGGCCGAGAAGGTTTGTGCTAAATTTATACTACTCCATTTTTTTTTCTCCCTTTTCCGTGGCTGTAATACCTCTCTCTCTTGATGAAAATTAAGTATATATATATAATTATGTATTTTGGTTTGATGCATATATATGGCACCCTAATTTTAATTTGCTCATAATTAATCCTTTTTCTGAA